GAAATTTTTTGTAATCTTCATCTTTATAAGATCCGCCATTTTGGATTTTTAAAATCTGACTTAAGATACGTAATCAACGACCCCAAAACCCCCTGAGTAACGAGTTTCAGGGAAATTGAATCTATTTTTCAAAAAGTTGTCAGTCATATTGGATCCGCCACTTTGAATTTCAAAAATCTAATATCATATTCGTAATCAGCGACCCCAAAAACCCCCAAGCAACGAGTTTCAGGCAAATTAAATCATTTTTTAAAAAAGATGTCCGCCATATTGGATCCGCCATTTTGAATTTTGAAAAACTGACATGAGATTCGTAATCAGCGACCCCAAAAACCCCCAGGCAACGAGTTTCAGGCAAATTAAATCATTTTTTAAAAAATATGTCCGCAATATTGGATCCGCCATTTTGAATTTTGAAAAACTGACATCGGATTCGTGATCTGCGACCCCAAAAACCCCCGAGTAACGAGTTTTAGGCAAATTGAATCTATTTTTAAATTATTACTTGTCACTTTTCATTTAAGGGTTGTTTTCACCCCTAGAAGCCACAAACGACTTGATCCAGCAAAACGGCCAGACACGGGTATTTTTTTTTTGGTCCTAGTTTCCAAAAATGTTTGATTTTTTTGTGTGTGAAAAATCGTGTCGGACGGTGTTATACTATTCATTATTTCCTTTGATTCTAAAAAATTAGCATTTTGTAACAAACAGTTTAGAAAATTAACAAATGTAAATCCTGTAAAATATTTTCTTTTTTTTAATATGAAAAACTTTATTACTTAACAAAATTTTGACTTCTTCCTTGACTCTAAAGAATATTCTGATTCTCTCTAAAAATGATTAGATACTCCAAAAAATGTTCCATTACATTTATTTACGAATTTCTTTAATTCTAAAATTATTTAAAAACATCAATTACTTCTTTTCTAAATAAATTTTAATCATTATTATTTTCCCACAGGAATAAATTATTTTTAATAATTTTTGAAAAAAGTTCTTTGAGAATTTTAAAATCCATTTGTTTACGAAATTTAAATTATTCAGAAATTCTTCAACTAAATACGAATTAAAAAATAAATACTTCAAATAATTTCAGAAAAAAATTCAATTAAACTTTTTTAAAATAAATAATTCTACAGAATTGTTAGTTATAAGTATGAAAAATACAAATTTTTAAAGAATCTGATTTGGAACCATTTTAAAATTTAATTATTTCTTTAAATTCATGCTATAATGCTTTTAATATTCAATTATTATGTAGAACTTTAACTGAAATTCATTTTGAAATAAATTTTTATTAGAGAATTCAATAATTTGAATGCAAAAATAAATAATTTATTGAATAATTAAAATTTCTTAAAATTTAAGTCTGATAAAGAATTTTATCAAGACATTTTTAAATTAATTTTTTAAAGGCACAAATATAAAATTTTATGCAATGTTAGCAAAGCAGTGATATATTTTGTAAATTTCAATTTTTAACGAAATTTTTTAAAATTTTTTAATTATTTTTTGTGATTAAGTATAGTTAAGTGATTAAGTACCAGTTTTTATTGTTAATAGGCATTATTATTATTATTCAGAAACATATTCTAAAAATTTTTTCCCATTACAAGTGTGTTCAGAAAAAATTCACAAAGTAGCCGGTGTTAGCAAAATTGGTCAAATTGACCCCCATCTACCCTCTCCAAATTTTCGAAAAAATCAAAAATATTTTTTGGGGCACATTTCTACTTGATAGAACAACAAATTCCCTGAATTTCAATTTTTTTCAAGAAGTTGAAATTTCAACTTAAGACATTTCACGTAAAATGCCTCACCATAACACTACATTTGCACTAGGTTCTTCGTTATACGAAGGTCGGTGGAAACTGAGGCCGGTGGGAAATTTTTCAACCGACTTTAGATATTTTAATTTTTTGAAAAAAGTATCAATTATTTTCAATCGGTTTAAAGTGGATCTCATTCGTATTGACCAAAACAATATAACTACGCTTTATTTAAAACTTTTTTTTAAATTATTGTTTAATTTGTGGTAAAATATTTAAGGATCGGTGGATGTCGGTGTAGATTATTTTGTGATTCCCTTATCAAATTTCCAACTTAAAATGAGTGAAAAATGAATAAATCAATTAGAACATTGATTCTTTTTCCTGAATTAACTTAAGGAAGTTATTTTTTGTGTTTACAAAAGTAATTTTAAGTTAACATTTGATTTTCATTTAAATAATTTACTGTTTGTTAATAAAATAATCAATAGCATCCAAATTTGCTGTCAAGCGTAAACTGAAAAAAACATATATAAAATTAATTTAAAAAAAAAATTTTTTTTCAACTGTACTAAAGTAGACGATACTAAAATGTCAATAGTAATTGTATTTATTATTGCATATTACTAAAATTATTAATTTTTTTCTAAACTTTCTGTGGGGACAGGTAAAACTTTGTCGTTTTCAGCCTTAAAACCGCTTATTTATGAAAAATTATAAAAGTAATTATTAAAAGTAATTATTGGTTTTTGTTTCTAAACATATAGATAACCTTTTTACGTTGGAATTGTAAAAATATATGAAAATTATTTATTATTTTTCCATTACAACATGAAAAAAACCAAGTTCTGCGCTACGCGGAGAATCACCCATATAGTTTTGTCTTATTTCAAGAAGATTTAATTAAATTTATTCTGAAATGTGAGAAATTCAATCGGGGTAAAGTGACTATTCGCTGATTCATAAGTGTATATACGCTGATTGAATCAGCTGCATACTTATAGCTACCCAATCAGGGACTTTTCGCTGATTCAAATTTAGAGAGTAAAACAAGAATTGTAACTAGATTTCACTTTCGCTTAATAAAATATAACATTAGTTAAATCCATAGTTGTAATTCATGAAACCTACATTCATTATTTATTAAACCAATTTGTTGTTTATAGAATTGTTTATAGAACTCATAGTTTATCAATAATAAATCATACTTAAGACGGGAATAAGACGAATTTTAATATTTAAAAATAAAACTGTTCCATCTTAAAAAGATACAGTGAGCGGATTTACCCTGGAAAATTGTGATTTCGAAATTAATATATGTGTATTAAAAAGTTTCTCTAAGTAAAACTAAAAAACATAAATCAAAAACTCTTTTTTTAGTAGAAATCTTAAGCTTTCAAATGATATAAATTAACTTGGATTTAGAGAATAATTTCCTAGATTTTTACCGATCTAAAAAAGTAAGTGGGTTTACCCCAGTCTCCCCTACATCGACATTTCAAAAAAAGTTTGGTAAATTTGCTTGATTAGAAAAAACTGCATCTTTCTAGTATACTATTCTGTAAATAGTTAGTAATAAGGTCGTTTAAGGACCAAGGGTATAAGTACCCTTGGTTCTCGCCCATTTGACTTGGTATTTTTCCGGCACGTGAGATAATCTGAGCGGGAGGTTTGACGTCGAGGTATAATGATGTGCACCGTCGATTATTGTCCGGTACACACCATTAGAACTCGACTGTCGATAAACCGGTTGTACTCAGAGAGGTTTTCTACAGTTTCCCTCTTCTCTGTCGAGAAAACCCATTGACGGGTAGTCCAGGCGAATGCGAGTACTCCTAATAAAGTCGGCTGTAGACGCAAAATTAGGTTAATATATATAATTTTCATATGTAGAATGGTTATGCTTAATCCAAAAAAGTATTTCTCGGGGACTCTTGTCGAAGTGCGTAAGCCCAATAGGGCAGGAGTATAAACAATAAAAAAAATAGTTAGTAATAAACAATAATAATTTGTTTAAATCTTGCTTAAATAATAATAATTATATTTTAAATCTGCATCGGTAAGGTCTGTTAAATTGCAAAATTAGAAAAAAATAGACCTCTCTAGGTACAATATGTAAAAAGTTAGTAATTAGCAATAATAATAATAATAATTTATTTAAACAAATAAAAATTTAAAATATGCACAGTATTCTTAAAAATTTATAGCCAGTCATTTTCCAAAAAGAAAAATTGAATTCGGTTAAAATTTACGAATTATAGGTGATTTTGAACATTATTTTGTATGTAGAGTATAGCCTGAAAATGCGCTTTTAAAAAATTGGTTATTTAAAAATTATTTTTTAAATAATTTGTTTTAAAAAAAATTTTTTGATATAGTTCCGAATAGTCCAACCTACATAAATAATTGAAACTACGTATACCCACGTATTTTTATGCCCTGATTACGAAAATGATAAAGAAATTTGGCGACTAGGTCATCTTCATGCTGAAAACCACAAAAAACCCATTAAAAAGCCCGTTTTAAAGGACATGTCGGAGGGGGTCGGTTCTGGGTTGGGTGCCTTACAGTACTAACAAGAAAGTCAATTTGACTCCCTTTCTACGTTAAAAAGCCGAAGTACATGAGCAGAGCCGGGCTCTATAGTGTTTCCCTTCTGAAGCACTTTAAAACGGACTTTTTAATGGTTTTTTTGTGGTTTTTAACATGAAGATGACCTAATTGCCAAATTTCTTTAACATTTTCGTAATCAGAGTTTAAAAATACGTGGATATACGTAGTTTCAATCAATTCTGTGGGTTGGACTATTCGGAACTGCACCTGGAATTATTTCGATTAAAATTTTATCATACCCCTTATCAGTGTCCGACTCTACACACTGAAATCTGACTCGAACGCCCTTATTCCTGTTTTTTACGCGAACCTGATGCGAGAAGTGAGACACAAAAGAAAATAATTTGAAAAATTATTAAAATAATAATTATTAAAATAAGGGATGAAATCCCTTACATTCAATTTCTCCTTCAGGGAAACTTTAAAAAGACTCAGAATTGACCATACAATGATAAAAGCAATTAATATTTTCTAATGTTAAAGAAAATTTAAAATAACTAAAGAGTAACTTAAAGTAACCATTTTTAGTACTTTACAGACAACATTGAATGACTTTGAATTATCGACCAATGTGTTTTAACAATTTTTTTATTTACAAGAATTTATTTTAATTTTTAGGTCACTAAATGTCACCAGAAAAATTTACAACTAATAATTTATCAATCATGTTGAAAATAATAATCATCTGCTTAGTGATATCAGAAATTAAAAGCAATAACATTGAAGAACTTAGACGGGAAGATATAGAAAAGTTAAGAGAAGCCTTCTATGAATCATCTGATTATATAGGAAGAGAAATTAAAGATGGAAATGGAAATGCTGTAGTTGTTCTGGGCAGGGGAAGAAGTGGAAAAAGTACACTAGTTAATTACTTAATGGGCAATCATTTGATTGCTTACAAAGATGATGAATCTTTTTTAATAAAAAAATATAATGAATCTGATGTTGGACCAAAAATTGGCGCTGGATCGCTGTCAGTGACTAAGAACATATCAAAATATAATTCAAAAGTTTTTCCTGGTTTAAGCATTTGGGATGCTGCTGGATTTCAAGACAATAGAGGAGCAGTAACGGAAATTGAAAATTCTTTCTATCTGCATCATTTGGTGAAGAAAGCAGAATTTTTGAAAATTATTTTAGTTGTCTATCATAATGATATTAAAGACGATAATATTGATTCGTTTAGATTACTTTTACGTATGCTTGAAAGCTTATTTCATTCAAGGTTTAATGAATTTTATCCAAGCATATCATTCGTTCTCTCAAGAATACCTCCAATGATCAATAATTTTTCAGTTGGTTATGATTATATAAATTACAAATTAAATACTACAATTTTATCAAACATTGGTACTTTGGATATTTCGACAGCTTCAGAACAGTTTATAAAGTATTTAGTAGAACATAACGATCATACTGCTATTTTCAAAACAATGCTCACTGCGGGAAATGTTACTGCTGATATCGATTTGAATGTTATAAGTTCCATTAACAACACATATAGAATAAAAAAGATATGTCGGGAGAATGTAGGATTTACGATTTCAGATAAGTCAAAAATTTCATTGGGATATATTAAAACTGAATTAAAAGCAAAGAAAAACTTTGTTGATTTAAGGACGATAACAGATCAATATTTTAATGAAGTAATTGAAAAAGTAGGCAAGGAAAGACAAAATACAAGTTATTTAGAGATCATCAAACAACATTTCAGTGAAACTGAAAAACATTTAAATGCTTCATTGAATAATTTGAATATACAAGATCAAATTGAAGCTGTGAAAAACCTTAATAATAGTATTAAAGAATACATTGAAAAAGAGGATGTTTTAAATAAATCTATCCTAGTTAAATTTATTGATTCCTTATTGCACAGGAACGAAACGGATTTATTTGTATTTTCCAAAACTACTGTCCTAAACGCACAAGCAAATATATTACAATTGATTAATTATTGTTCATTATTGCAGCAAGAACTACAAATTGACGAATATAAAATAAATTTAAATCATGTAAAAGATTTGTATAATGTTGCACTAAGGCGTTTTCAAGAAACCGAAGTCAACCTTGAATCTGAATCAGAAAAAAAATTTTGGAACGAATTTTGGAAAAAATTTCCAGCTGCTATTAAAAATAATGAAACAACACCTTCAACAATATAGAATATCGATGCAGTGATCGACATTCTGATAATGTACGAATCTTGCTGTTAAACATATAATAACTATAAAACTAATAATATTAAGGGCATCTGGGAAAAATACCCCAAAAAGTGGTAGCTCGCGTGACTGTTCATTCCTAATGAGTATAAGTATTGAGCAGGGACTTTTTTGATTAATTAGAGAAGGGCAAACTAAACAAAATATTTTTATCCCACATGCACAAAAATGACGCTTTTAAATAGCTCACGACAGGATTCATTTGTTCGACCGTATGAAAATGGCGTTCAATTTTTCACTAGGGCATAAATAACAGCTGTTCCCATGCGTTATTTTAGCTCTAGGGTAAAAATGAACGCCATTTTCATACAAGTGAATGACCTCCACTCGTGTCACAAAAATCACCGTAATGAAATGGCTGCCTTTATTCCCTTGTTACCTAATATACTATTTCTATATTTATAAGTAATTTTGATGTGTATGCTATTGTTTCGAAAGGTTTTTGCACCTTAGAATTTTTTATTCTTATTTTTTATAGTTACTGTTATTATTTTTTAGAAGTAGGACTGAATTATATTATTATTCTATACACAATGTTAAATCATTATATGAAAAGAATAGATATGATAAATAGGCAAAGGAAGACATTCTTACGTTATTTATTTTGGAAAGAGAAAAGAAAGCAATTTATTCTTACCTGAAGAGAAACAATTTTATTTCATTTTTATTGAATAGAGACAGATAGAAGTGCGTTAGATTTTTAGCGTTAAAAGCAGAGACTAATTTATGTTATTTGTCTAGAGTAGAGGACATTTTTACTAAATGTTATTGAATAGACATTGAAAAAAAGTCAAAAGGCCTTCTCCTTAATGCAGGTATATGCGGGTTATAAAATTATAATTTTATAAAGGAGAGACCTATTGCTCGAAAGGTTCATTTTTGTGCGTAAGTGATATATTATAAATAGAAACAAAATTATTTAAAGTGTGACGCATCCAGTTAAAATAAATTAACCGTTACAAAACCATTAATAATAAAAATTGTCAGTAAATTTATATTGATGAATATCAATTGTCTAATGAATAACAATTTGTCTATTGAAAATAAAATAAAATTTAAATCATTCTTCTTCTGTTTAAAAGTTTCATTCTTAATTTATTAAAGACAAATAATGAGAATTTATATAATTAATACAATTTTATCAAGTTTTCATGACGAATATTTTTTTAATTCTCTTTCTAAAATATCAAAATTAATAGAAAAAGATGTTTCATATATATAAGAATTGAAAAAGCTGTACTTTTGGCACATTTTTAAAATTCTATAAAAGAAAAATATTACCAAATTAGTATCACACATAGATAATTTGAATTACTATTTCCTAAAATAAAAATGATTATGTTTCTTATTTTTTGACCTAAAAAATTTTTCTCATTTTCTTTCTTAAATAATAATTAAATTATAAATTAATTAATGTAAAACATGTATATGTTAAAATAAAAAACAATGGTATGGTTACCAAATATACAAAATAAATGTTTTTAATTTTATTGTCAATATTTCCGTTCCACAAAAATATCACTTTTAACACTGAATTTATCTTAATAAGTTCAAGACGATACAAAATATTTTATGAAAGTTTGCAATTCATACGTGTTAAATAGCTTGTTTACAATATATATTGTGCAACAAGTACAGAAAGAAGCTGTTTCCCGAAGAGTGCGAAGTTTGCTACTACGAGCAAAGCGAAGGCAACAATTTGCACAAAGTCGAAAAATCTTCTTTCGTACGTGTTGCACACAGTATCTACTTTGTGTAACACCTTTTTGTATTGGTGAAAAAAACTGTTTGAAAATGCTAGTTGACGCCAAGCAAAGTACTGTTTACCAGGGTTTGGAACGTATATTGCCGCACGTAATATACGTAGTTTATCACGTGTATATTGCTGTAAGAAACAGGTATTCTACTAAGGTAATAGAAAACGAATACCTATATGTATATTACAAAAAAATCGAAATTTTTGGAACCCTGCTTATTTAGTGCAGCAAAGTACTATTGTGCGCCTACTTTACAGGTAGGTAAAGTAATTCTTTTCTTAAAGGTGTTGCACAAAATTATTTTCTACAATGCAGTTCCATTCAAAACACAGATCTACATGGTTTTTTAATCTATTTCATTTCCTTGAATTCAGGTACTTAATTCTTTTCTGGCATCTTTCATATTTTCATTTATAGAGATCACATTATTTAATATTTTATCTTGAAGAATAAATCTACAAACTTTAAAATTTAACTAAATTTATTAAATAAATGATTTCTTAATTAAGTTCAAACTTGTTAAAAAAAACTTTTGTCAAAACATATCAAAAATATTATCTATCGGATAAAAGTTGACTACACGAAAATGACATAAAAACATACAGTTTTCAAGCTATAACATATACATATGTGACCTGGTCTATGAAAAGGGACCTTCCGTGCGAAAACAAGTTTTCGAGAAAACAGCAGTTAAAGTTTAACTTAGAAAAACCCTAGTAACTTTTTAAAATATTAATATTTTTTAATCAAGTTAGGCTTATTTTCTTCACCGTGGATCACAGTATCAAAATAAAAAACATACAAGTAATGAAAATTTTGTTTTAAATAATTGTTTATATAAATTAATAACAAACTCCCCAAACATAGAAAAAATAATCTAAGTTTTCTAAATAGCAACAATAAGTATAAATAAATGACACATGTTTGTAAGGGTTTTCGACGCCGCTGATTACGAATATGGTTAAATTGATAATTTGACAGTTGACAGCTTCTCTAAAAAGTGATCGTTTTTTATATAAAAAAGACAAAATGGGGGATCCAAAATAGCGGACACAATTTTTAAAATTTATTTTGATTTTCATCTATTTTGGTATCTAGGGGTATTTTAGCACGCTGAATTCGAATTTCATATTAATTTTTAGATATTCAAAATGGAGGATCCAAAATGGCGGACACAATTTTTAAAATTTATTTCGATTTTCATCAATTTCAGTATCTAGGGGTTTTTTTGGGTCGCTGTATTCAAATTTCATATTCATTTTTAAAAATTCTGTTTGAAATTGAAAAATTTTGTCCGCCATATTGGATCCGCTATTTTGAATTTTTTATGACGTATTTGAATTCAGCGACCTCAGAAACCCTTGCATACTAATTTTTATAAATATATCTGTTAAAAATTGAAAAATTTTGTCCGCCATATTGGATCCGCCATTTTGAATTTTTTTTTGACGTCATATTTGAATTCAGCGACCCTAAAAACCCTTGTATACTAAGTTTCATAAAACTTCATCGACCAGATTTTGGTGCACATTTTGGGCCACTTATATGAATATTTTGTCAAACAGGGAAGGGGTTAAACAGGCTTTTCGCATATTTTTACTATTGATTTTAATTCCGTGACTTTAATTACATAAAAATTGAATACATAAAAGAAATTAAAAATGGCGGGTTTTTTTAATAAAATTGTTCAGATTTCCTTGAAAATCGATGCTCGGGGGTTTTCGGGGTCGCTAATGACGTATTTGAAGTCGATTGTTAAAAATTAAAAATGGCGGACCCAATATGGCAGCCAAAAAAGTTAAAAATTTATCAGATTCACTCGATAATCGTTACTCTGGGGGTTTCGGGGTCGTTAAAAATGAATATAATGTCCGTTTTAAAAAATTTTAAATGTCGAATTCAATATGGCTTACGATTCAAATTTTTGCATACTTTTGTGATTCTTGTTTCTTGTTGTTTAAATGGCCTCTTGTGGATTACACAGATAGCCAGTACTAATATTAAATTGCTTAGTTGTGTTGTAAGTTTGATATATGATTGGTTGAGAGATTCTTTCCAGTGTAGTCCAAATCGGTAATGCGACGAGTTATGTATAGATGGGCGGGAAACAAAATTTTTAATAAAAAATTTTCTGAAATTATACACTCCTATTATTATAAGGAATTTTAAGTTAAATGTACCATAAAGCTTGAGTTGAATGAGTTGATTGTATGTTGTAGAGTAGATTTTTGAGTATGTTGTAAATCTCATAATGTTGAAAGATTGTCAAGTAAAAATTCATTTACAGTTCGTGTATTCTACTAGTTCATTTGGTTTGGAAGGGGAGGGAAATTCAAATGTAGTTCAGAGTGAATAAATAGTGGTATTTAAAGAATAGGAAATTTATAAGAAATTTAAATAAAGAAAAAAATTAAAAGAGAGAGAGAGAAGGAAGCGTAACAACTTTAATAATGTAAACTTTATAGCAATATTAGTTGAGAGGAAAAGAAGAAATAAATAAAAAAAGGGTTTTTTAAGTTCAAAAAGGCAGAATAGAAGAGTAAGAGTAAAAAGAATATGAGTCCACATTAACGTGTGTGATGTCGTAATGTATATTATATAGAGGGTATACTCGCAAATGTTCTGTCTCCCTTTACCAACAGTGTCCCATAATATCTTACTTGCATTTCTCACATCTTATATATGAGGCATTTTACGTGAAATGTCCTAAGTTGAAATTTCAACTTCTTGAAAAAAATTGAAACTCGAGGAATTTGTTGTTCTATCAAGTAGAAATGTGACCCAAAAAATATTTTTGATTTTTTCGAAAAATTGGAGGGGGTAGAGGGGGGTCAATTTGACCAATTTTGCCAACATCGGCTACTTTGTGAATTTTTTCTGAACATACTTGTAATGGGAAAAATTTTTTAGAATATGTTTCTGAAAGGTTTTTTCGTCCTCTTTCCAATGGTGTATTTTATTTTTTAATATTTTAAAAATTTACCCTAATTTTTGATGATTTATATTTAATTTTCAATTACCCAAAAATCGGTCCGTTTTTTTTGAAAATAAATTATTGCAAACGAAAGCTGAGGTTTTTTCCTATCGGCATGTAAATTTTCAGAATGCCCTTTTTTTTGTTTTTGAGTGATTGAATTTCAAAGAATAAATTGCGGCGCGCTGCGTCGCGGTTGCACTGAGCTGCGTGGCAACCCATGCAACCGGCGTGAGACGAGGCGCCCGGGACGCTGCGCGCCGCAATTTATTCTTTGAAATTCAATAACTCAAAAACAAAAAAAAGGGCATTTTGAAAATTTACATGCCGATAGGAAAAAACCTCAGCTTTCGTTTGCAATAATTTATTTAAAAAAAAACGGACCGATTTTTGGGAAATTGAAAATTAAATATAAATTATCAAAAATTAGGGTAAATTTTTAAAATATTAAAAAATAAAATACACCATTGGAAAGAGGACGGAAAAACCTTTCAGAAACATATTCTAAAAATTTTTTCCCATTACAAGTATGTTCAGAAAAAATTCACAAAGTAGCCGATGTTGGCAAAATTGGTCAAATTGACCCCCCTCTACCCCCTCCAATTTTTCGAAAAAATCAAAAATATTTTTTGGGTCACATTTCTACTTGATAGAACAACAAATTCCTCGAGTTTTAATTTTTTTCAAGAAGTTGAAATTTCAACTTAGGACATTTCACGTAAAATGCCTCATATTTGTCACAGAGAAATTGCATAGTTATTTCACAATATCTGATAATGTCTCGTAAATAATATTATAAATTAATTGTAGAATAAAAATCTGTGAATCAGACTTTATAGGTTCTCTAGTACGAAAAACTATGTAAAAATATAACGGTAGATACGTAATATTACGCGCAGCGCTACCCAACCTTGCAACTACGAACGCAACCTACCCAATTTTGCATAAGCACCTGTTTTTCTAGCAGAACGCGGTGAATAAGTCAGTCTCAAGGCCTAAGCACAATAGGTTCGCGAACGCAAAGCATGAGTTAGAAAAGGACAGAGATATATTTGTGTCCTTGTCTATCTCATGCGTCTCGTTCGCGAACGACTTTCGCGAACCTATTGTGCGTTGGACTTCATGTCGTAGAGCGAATTGTAAAGATATGTATATGTGACGCTCCACGAGAAAAGGGACCTTATGACAAGAGTAAATAAGGTTCCTTTTCTCGTGGAGCGTCACATATATCTTTTATTAATTAATAAATATCTCGACGATTGTTAAAAACAGTAAAATACAGAAAAAAATGGAAGTATGAAATATATTATATTGATAAATGGATTGCTGTCT